TCCAATTTAAGTAATATGATATGGTTTGAATGTAAAAAACAAGGTACATGTGTTTGTTGATCCTGCTGGGTTGTTTGAAATTAAAGTGACATCATTCGTCTTTACCAATATCATATTGTTTTTGTCTACTATCGGGTATATCTGCATGAGGATTGTATAAAGACATAGATCACTCTAAAATCCCATGGGTTTCTGATGTTTTGGTCATTGAAACTGCCTGTAAATCCATGTAATTAAATCCCACATGTTTGGACAAAGCGATGGAGTTCATTGGGTGAATTCCCGTCACATGATGTCTCTACATAGCTGGCCAAACTTCGGGGAGTAATTTCCTCATATTTTAAGACCCAGGGGGACCACAGATTCGGGTAATGTTTGTGTGTGTTCCATCAATTTTCTGATTTTTCTGGACCTAATTTTGGACAAATCCATGCCCATGTTTTACTCGCATCACTTTTTACTTTAGTTGTTCAACACGCCATTGGACATAAGTTGCATTTTTGGGTGGCAATTTGTTTGATCTCTATTTTTGCAGTTGTAAACAAGTTAACATCAAATCAAATCATTCAAAACATTCAGTCACCTAAAAACCGGCATCAAATCATTCAAATCATTCGGGCACCTAAAAATCGGCATTCTTTTATCCTTGGGCGAAGGTGAAGAAATTTGGAAGAATTTGGTCAAGGACGCTCGAGGCCGGAATTTGCCGACGGAAGTGGAACCAGCATCCCTTCCCACAAAATGGGGTAAGCTTGGATGGGTCCTTTGGGCTTTAAATATCTTTAAATAATGAGCTATCTATCTGTATGTATATATATAATATACACACATATATATATATACATGGAGGTTTCCAGAAATAGGGGTACCCAAAATGAATGGTTTCTAATGGAAAATCCTATCAAGATGGATGATTTGGGGGTCCCCCTCTTTTAGGAAACCTTCATATTATAGCTATAGATGGGGATATAATGGTGTATATATATATAATGATATATATATATATCATTATATATATAATGATATGTATATATATATATAGTGATATATATATATATATGTATTTATTTAATGTTATATCTATATCTATATATATATATTTATGTATATTATCCTGCTAAAAAGAGATGTAAGGTATCTAAGGCTGGCTGTGCTAATCTTAATCGAAAATGCGCAGCAGTAAAACCGACAGGAGCAAACAGGTCTGAGCTAGGCGAAACTCCAAAATATGAACGTAATTTGTCATGGTGGTGCTAGTTGGAATGATGATCCAGTGATGTCACAGAGCTGGTAACTTGAAGAAACCTCATGCTGAAAAGCGACCCAGTTCTTATTTGGCATTATAGAACCTACGATCTGTTCCATAGCTATGGGTTTTCCATGGTTTTCCATGGGTTTTCCACATCTACTGTGGATGGGCCAGCGAAATCCAAATCCCCAGTTGAAAACGGTGGTAAACATCCCATGATTTATCGGGTTTCAACCATCGTGGTGCAGGATTTTTCGCAACCATCCACAGTAGTTCAATCTTGGGCTGGCATCTACGATATCCAAATGTTGCGTCAAGCCTTTGATTCCATTTGAAAACTCCATTGTTGCTGGTGTTAGTTTATTGTATAGAGATATATGTATAAATATGCATATATATATATATATAGATAGTATACAGATGAATTTACCTGATATGGGTGTGGGCTAACACCAAGCCAAACATAATAACACTTCGGAATGTTTGTCCACGTTTGTCCCATCAAAATAGCCAATTGCTACTTGGGGCCGAAAAAACAAAAACAAAACACATTCCGAACTTAAAGCCATATTTACCCGTTAAATATCATGAAATCACAATTTTTCATGGTAAAATCACCATGAAATCACCATCTGTTTGTTGCTAAAAAATCCCATTGTACCATATTGTACCCCACCTGGGTATGTGTCAAAATCATGACCTCCGAAGCCCAGCTCCATGGCAGAATCCTTCTCGGATGGTGGTGCCACCTTAGGCGCGTGTGTTGAACTGCTGGGAACTGCTGGTTTCGGGATGACCCCGTTTTGGAAGATCTGAAATGTATACATATATAAATCATGATGGACAATAAAACTTTACCGGAAAGTTCTCTTCATAATGATGTTATTGGTATCCAATGAATAATGATGTTCCCTTAAACCAATCCAATGGGACTCGGGCCTTCCTGGCATCGGAATCACGCACCAAGCAGTTTTGTTTATCCAATGGATCACGGGATCATCATCATGACCTAAGACCCTAAGCGGAAGAATCCCAGTTCAATAAGACCTAAGAAGATAGACAAGTAACAGTCCAGACCAGTTGTTTGTGCCGGGGGACCGCAAACCGAACGTGTAGTGACGCATATTTTCGCCAGCGGACCCAAAACCGTGCTTGTAATACTAACTTCTTTAACCATGTTCATGGGGTAGGGTCGGGTGGGGTGTGGGTATTAACGTTCTGTCCGCGAAGAACTTTCAAGTACGTTACTAACTTCTCTAACCCCGTTCATGACGTAGGGTGGGGTGGGGAGGGGTGGGGTATTATATAACGTTCTGTCCACAAAGAACTTTCAAGTACCACGTTCATGGGGTGGGGTAGGGTGGGGTGGGGTATTAACGTTCTGTCCGCGAAGAACTTTCAAATACGTTACTCACTTCTCTAACCCCGTTCATGGGGTAGGTGGGGTGGGTTATTAACGTTCTGTCCGCGAAGAACTTCCAAGTACGTTACTAACTTGCAACTACGTTGTTGACTCTTCTAACATCACTTGCAACTACGTTGTTATCTGGTATTTTTCACATTGCAACTACGTTGTTGGCTCTTCTAGCATCACTTGCAACTACGTTGTTATCTGTTATCTTTCAAATTGCAACTACGCTGTTGGCTCTTCTAACATCACTTGCAACTACGTTGTTATCTGTTTTTTCACGTTGCAACTACGTTGTTGGCTCTTCTAACATCACTTGATACTTGCAACTATGTTGTTACCTGTTTTTTCACATTGCAACTACGTTGTTGGCTCTTCTAACATCACTTGATACTTGCAACTATGTTGTTACCTGTTTTTTCACATTGCAGCTATGTTGTTGACTCTTCTAACATCACTTGCAACTACGTTGTTACCTTTTTCTTCAAAGTGCAACTACGCTGTTGGCAGTGGCGTTACATCAATATGTGCAAAGACATGTTGAAGACTACAGCAAAAGCTGTACAGCAAGCGTTGCTTGGCTGAATCGTCCCAATTTCGACTGGCACGTGTGGGAAAATGACTCACAGGCACTCGTTGCTGCCTCTGTTCTTTGGACTTGCAAAACAGAAAAAACTTCATTTCCACAGCACGACATGATCAAAAAAAAAACACCATGGAATCGCCACGAAAAAGAACCCACAAAAAATGAAGTGTGCCGAAATCTCACGTTTGATGCACTTTTTTATCAAAGAGGTTATTCACAAATGTCAACGCCGCCACGCGCGGTTTCCGGTCGGGCGGGCTGTTTGTGTCATGTTACTTTTGTTTACAAGAAACTTGAGTTTCTCATGTTCCCCATGAAGTTATTGTGTTTTTTCTAACGACAGGTTGGAGGAATCTGAACTTGACTCGGCAGGCCCCAATGGGTTGGTTTACACCTGCTCCAATCCATCGGATTATCATGGCCTTGAAGGGTCGCATGGCGCCAGATGCTTTGGGGCTCGGGGATTGCATGGCTTCAAATGTTGTTTAAATGGGTTTTAATGTGGTTAAAACAATCATAAACTACCCATTTGGGAATGATTTATACCACCTATTTATGGTGATTTGGGCGATGGTTTACTATTGTTTTCACCACGTTAATGTTTGTTTAAGTATTGTTAGGCATGGGATAATCCTTGATTTTGCTGGGTCGATGTTCCAGCGGGGTAGGGGGATTTTTAACAGCAAATTGACCGGGAATCCGGTGGTAACTCCACAGTGAATATACGTCAAATTGGTCAAATTGGTGGATGTTAGATCCACTCCCTTCCATGTAGAATGTAAAAATGAACATCTTTGCCAGGAAAAAAATGGTCATTGATTTAGTTCCGGATCTTGATACAATTAGAATCTAATTTACATAGTTTTTATTCACGTTCCCTTGTTGAGCTCGTGAGGCAAACAATAGATTAGTAAATTTTGTTGACATTGTTCTTCTTTAAATTCCCCACCTGCCAGGTGAGGGTTGTTAGATTTTATCAGAGTTGTTCTCCTCCTCCTCGGCTAGCTATCATCCTCCTGCTCCTCCTGCTCCTCCTCCGCCAGCATCTCCTCCACCACCTCTGCCTCCACTTCCACGTCCACGGTTGCCTTGCCAACTCTTCGCCAAGCTCTTTGCCAACGTCCGAGCTCAGTGTGCACCGCTGGACCTCAACCTGGGACCTTCCCAGCTCAGTGGGCACCGCTGGACCTCAACCTGAGACCTTCCCAGCTCAGTGGGCACCGCTGGACCTCAACCTGAGACCTTCCCAGCTCAGTGGGCACCGCTGGACCTCAACCTGGGACCTGCCCAGCTCAGTGTGCACCGCTGGACCTCAACCTGGGACCTTCCTGCTGGACCTCAACCCGGGACCTGCCCAGCTCAGTGTGCACCGCTGGACCTCAACGGCCAGATAGCCAGATAGAATGTCAGATAGAATGCCAGAAGATATGCCAGATAAAATCCAATGAGATATGCCAGATAGAATGCCAGAAGATATGCCAGATAAAATGTTAAAAGATATGCCAGATAGAATGCCAGAAGGTATGCCAGAGAGAACGCCAGAAAATTTGCCAGATAGAATGTTAGAAGATATGCCAGATAGAATGCCAGAAGGTATGCCAGATAGAATGCCAGACAAAATGCCAGATAGAATGCCAGAAGATTTAGACCCTGATTGGAACGCATGAGCATCGCACACGCATACTGTATGTGTTTGGTGTTCGGTTTGTTCTTTGCTTGAAAGCTGAAGCTCGTGCGCCTTGCCATGCCTTGCCCAGGAAGTTGGCTTGACGCGCTGCCAAGTGGCAATAGGGCACCGGGCCGATGGCAGCGGCCTCGCGTCGTTTGGCTTTTTCGACACCAACTCTTCCGATGAAAGCCAGACAGAAGGCGCCGGGTCATGCTGAAACCACTGCGTGGGGGTCATTGCCCGTGTGCCTGCAGGCGGCTATGATGAGAGACCCCCTCGAAACATCGAAGTTTTCACTTCTCCCTGGGATGTGGATGAAGCTGTCGCAAATGAGGCCACGGGCGGCTCTGAGTGAGTCAGTTAGCACGTTGGTCGGTCTGTCACTGAGTCGTCAGCAATTCGACCGGTCACAAAATTGGATGTGGATTGGTTCGCCTGTACACAGTTCAGTCCTCTATCATTGACTCTGTCAGTCACATCTCGCATATAAGCCCGATATTTGGAGATTTCGCCACTTCCTCTTGCGCGTGGTTACTATGTAATTCCTCTCGCCAGCGTAGACCCCAAACCGCAACAATCCATGCTTCCATTAAGGTCATGTTTAACTAAAATTCATTGGTCGCCCCTTTCCTGAGAAGGGGAAAAAGAGAAGAAGGAAGCGCTGGAACCCGAGCCGGAATCTAGAGGAACCAGCAAATCATGATGGAACAAAGACTGTTTCTAGGAAGAATTGAGAACCCCATTGAGCTCAAGAGCTGTTTGGGGAGAATAGTAGTTCGCATATTGCGTTTTAATAAATAATGATACATGATCATGAATGAATAGATGCAGGTGCACAGAAAACAGCGTGGGGATCCGTATGGAAGGAGCGCTCGATTGCGCATCGGTCCGTGGATTCGATCATGTTTGGTGCAACGCGGAATTAATGTTGGAATTTGGAGAATGCAATTGGGAGCATTAGTGAACGTGTAAGTGAAAGCAGAAGCAGTCGTTTGGAGCGTGCAATCAGCACCAGGTTAAAACATCATGAGAAGAGCCCGTGATGCTGTGCAACAGGTGCTCCAGAACATTGGTGACACTTGTCAGACTTGGAGCTTATGGGAAGCGCCCATACTGCATGGCTTGATCTGGGAAGATGAGTGGGGGGTCTCAACCTGATTAGGAAGTTTGACAATTTTGCAGTTTGACAAGTTAAATCAGCTAGATGAAATAAGTTGCTGCAGTTTGACAAGTTGCTCTCAGTTTTCTCCAATTTTACCAGCCACGCCAGGGCATCGACATCCGCGCAACTTGTTGAAGCCTGGCAGGGGGGCGGTGCGCTCTGCACAACATTAGTACTGAGATTTTGGCAGCCTTTGTCCCAGCGCGCTGTGGGCAAATCATTTCATGCCATCATGACTCATTGGCTTATTGCATCTTATTGCTACTTTGTGGGCCGGGTGCCACCTTTTTTGCAACGTGAGGGCATATTGGGCCCAGGTGGCCGGCTTTGACCACGTCGCAGTCCCAGAACATGTGGTGATGTCGCTGCCTCCAAACATGTTCCTTGCCAGGTGCTGCAACTTCCGGTGGGACGATTGCTTGCAGACCGGACTTTGCCCCGCCGAACAGCGCAATCTCTTCGGGAGCGCTTGCCTTAGTTACTGGATTGTGAGATGCATGCGGGGTCACTTCCACATACTTCCATGCCCAGCAAGGTCTGGCTTTGCAGAAGTCGGCCCGGGCAGCCCAGAAAACAGGCGCCTCCATTGCCCACGGTTGATGCAATTTCCAAGGACGCCGAAGCCCCCAGCGCTGGACTTCACGGTGTGGGTGCTGCTGAAGGACCAATCACCACATCTTCGTGAATGCCCGTAGTGTGACTGAATCTGCAAACTCAATTCGGTTTGGAATTGTGCAATTGCCATCTTTCCATCAGTTGGCTTCCTGAACTTGACCGAATCTATGAGCAGGTGAACTCAGATGACACAAACAACAACTACCGACTCTGGTTGACGCCAATGCCAACGAAGCAGTTCCCAGCTTGGGATCCATGATGAAATGCGATGACCGCACCTGGTCTGTCTGTGAGAAGCCGGAAGTGTGGCCAACTCCTAAAAACAAGCAAACCTGGACACCATCCTGGACAGTTGTTTGGTCTCGAGTTCACTCACTTTACTTGTGTGAGAATCCGCAAACAAAATTCGGTTTTGGTATTGGGGCTGATTGTACTTGATGAACAGTGCCAGTGGAAATTCAACATAACATACCGTACAGTGACGACCATTGCAAAAAAACCACCAATATTTCAGACACAGGTCAGCTATCGCCTGAAGGAACTGACATGCAAGGAATGTGTACAAAACAAAGCAAGCTTTTCCTCGTAGCCCGATGAGCCCTCCGTGTAGGAGGTGGTAAGAGACATGCGGGATGCTGCGCATGCGGGGGAGAAAACATCCATGTGCTGCCGCCGCGTTGACACAGTAGGTTGCTTGAAGAACATGATTCGCCTTTTTGATAAACATGACCTGCTACAGCCATTTGTTTTTTCACATATTGCTCGGGCCCAGTGGATCAGGTTTGTGTAGGATTTGCATGTGGTTGCAGCATTAAGCCATGACTTGCCAGCATCTTAGTGGTTGTTTTCCTGAAGCGAGAGATGCGAGAGTTGCAGAATTGGTTCATATATTTTTTTTCAGGTTGGCTGGCGCCGTGTTTTCCCCAAAGATCTCATGCTCATGCAGCGTTCGCCGATCTTCATCCGGAGTGACTTAGCAAAAACTGGCAACAAACTCAAAGAGTGCTGCTGCATCTGTGCATCCGGGGTTTACCAGTACAGGTTGGTCGTGGAAGTGTCTTCATTCCTGCATGTTGCTTGGCATGAATGCAACAAATGCACGTGATCGCCAGCTACAGTGGGGTGCTGGTGCTGCCAGGATGCTTCCCACCTTCGCAAAACGTCCAGCGAGAACTGGCAAAAGATCCCCAAAGACAAGAAGATACAAAAGAAGAAGGCGCGCAAGTTCAAGCGCGCAGAAGAGACTTGCGCAGAGAGATGTCAAAATGTATGCGTTGGGATCTTTGAAACTATGTACTGCCTGCGGGACTGTTTCGACTCAATGTTCCAGCAGTGCGTTCGTCCTCAATTTTGTTGACTTGGCCGGACAGTTCAAAGTTTGAGCCCTAGCTCTCATCGCTCCAGCAAAGAAAAATGCAGAAGTAAAGATATATAAGACATGCTCGCTGTCGCTTGTAAGGCTTGAAATTGGTCCGTCTTGTCTTGGCTCAGGTCGCACGGCCTTGCACAAAAGCTCCCAGGCCTCTGCAGGATTGAAACGGTCGTTGTTGCAGCTGATGAAGTAGCGCTGGGGAAGCATGTGCACTTCCTGTCTTCAGTCAAACAAATGGTTACCAATGGTTAATCACTCTGACCCATAGCCAGACACGGACGGAGTTGGAGCAAAATATCCCGGTATTTGTGCACTTGAGTGGACATACCATTCAAGGATGGTTTTCAATCCACTCATAGAAGATATGCCAGATAGAATGCCAGATGGAATGCCAGAATATATGCCAGATCGAATGCCAGAAGATATGCCAGGTAGAATGCCAGAAGATATGCCAGATAGAATGCCAGATAAAAAATGCCAGAAGATATGCCAGAACATCTGCCAGAAGATATGCCAGGTAGAATGCCAGAAGCTATGCCAGATAGAATGCCAGAAGGTATGCCAGAGAGAACGCCAGAAAATTTGCCAGATAGAATGTTAGAAGATATGCCAGATAGAATGCCAGAAGGTATGCCAGATAGAATGCCAGATAAAATGCCAGATAAAATGCGAGAAGATATGCCAGATAGTATGCCAGAAGGTATGCCAGATAGAATGTCAGATAGGATGCCAGAAGGTATGCCAGATAAAGTGCCAGAATGTTTGCCAGAACATATTATGCCAGAAGATTTGCCAGAAGATATGCCAGATAGAATGTCAGAAGATATGCCAGAAGATATGCCAGATAGAGTGCCAGAAGATATGCCAGAACATATTGCAGAAGATATGCCAGGTAGAATGCCAGTAGATATGCCAGATAGAATGCCAGAAGATATGCCAGATAAAATGCCAGAAGATATGTCAGATAGAATGCCAGAAGGTGTCCAGTAACAAAACGTATAGATGTCATGGTGGGGATAACTCGAAGTAAAGTAATTTGTTTTCTTATTGTTTTTTTTCTTGATTGTTTTTTCGTCCTTTCCTTCGCTTCCTTGCAGGGGAAAGGATTATATAATCTCTCTCCCCTAGCATTTGATCAACTACCCAATCCCTTCTGAACCCTGGTTGAAAATCGGATCTAATCTTACGTTAGTAAACCAATAGTAAACTACCATAAATCGGTGGTATAAACTTATTGCTTTACCAACATTCGATCCAATTTTTTGGCTGGGAAAATCCACAGAATTTCACGACAGCTCTGAGGACCACTGGCGTGGTTCGCGCCTTCTACCTTTCCAATGGCACCGAGTCTCGGTTGTGCTGAAATCTAACCACTGCTAAGCCGCTAAGCAAGGAAAAAACAATGAACGACTCACGTCCAGACGTGTATATCTATTTTTTATTATTACGTATTATTATTAATTATTATTATTATTGTTATTGTATATACATGATTACACATATATGTATTTATATATATATTACACATGCACACATTTGGGGTGTCTACGGATATTTCATGGCCATATCGTTTTCCTATTTAGACAACATTGTTACAGACATCTTTGCCGACAAGCCTGGTTTACGCATTAATTGTTGTTGGTTGACGCTATAATACTATTATTTGTATTTATTTGTCTATTAAAATTTATTTTTATCCATGATCTATTATTTGTTATTTTGTTGGTTGATACAATAGTAAGACGGATGATTTGTTTCTGCTGCTTCTATTTCAATATCTGTGGCCAATGGCATCGCTTCTTGGTGAAAAAGAAACATGAACTCCCTATTAACGATGTATTGAACACGCAGTCTCCCGGAATTCAGGGAAACATTTTCGGAACAACAAATTTCATATGGTTGGTCAAAGCTATGCACGGAAACATTGGGTGCCAGTGACTCTTGGAATATAACTAATAACACCCCCAATATTTTTAGAAATAGGTTTACTTGTTCCATAAACTCCTAGTGAGTAGTAACGTTTTTTTTTTGAATATGTTTGGTTTACTGTATATGTTTTTGTGTGTTCAAAGATCTCCCAATGATGTTCCTATGAGATAAGATATACATACAATGTGCCCCCCCAGTTAAAAGTTGGTTTATAAACCCCATCAACTATCATTATCTGTTCTCATAAGTAGAACAC